AAAGGAAATAGGAAAAAGGAAAAAGGAAAAAGGAAAAAGGAAAGACTGAAAGAAAGAAAAGAAAAGAAAAGAAAAATGAATAATTGAACTGGACGAAATAAATAAATAAATAAATAATTGGAATGAATTAATTAATTTAAATAAAGGACAAGAACCGGCATCTCTTCTAGTGGTCTCGGTCCCAAAATGAGAGTAAATAAAGCAAAGTTAAGAAAAGGAATGTAATGAGAATGAAGGAATCGAGGAAAAAAGAAAAAAATCATATCATCAAATCACAATGAATGAAGGATTCGTTATGCCTTCTCATTTATATTCTGGACGAAAGAGGAGATTTGAAAAAGAAATACAATAAATTCTGTTAATGATATCAGATAAAAAAGGCGAAACGAGTAAAATGGTAACATACTTATTTATTCTATTGGAATGGAAAGCCAAAGAGATTTTCGAATTTCTTTTTTTTATTTTTTATTTTTATCGCGAATTAATGAAAAAGAATATAATAAGAATAAGAATAAGAATAAGAATAGAAAAATTGAAAAATTTTGAAAAACAAACTCAATCATCAGAGGGAGTAGATTTGGTTATCATTTCAATCAATAGACTCAAAAAACCCAACGTACTTTAAAGTATGTATCCCATGTATAAAGACACTGATAAGACTGCCAACGTTGATAAGCGGCTAATAGTAACAAAAACCTATACAATATTCGCTGATATTTGTTTTGTACACGACAGCTATTACAACGGACATTTTCAAATCCTAGTGTGCCGATAGTTGCAAACGATTTACCGCCGAGAGAGCTTGATCGCTAGCCTAATTAAAACGCAGTGTAGAAAATATAAGACCTTGATTTTTACTTTAATAATATAAATATAAAATACTTTGAAGACAATGAAGCTGTTTAATTTTCTCTTCAAGTAGAAGCACCATATTTAGAGTATAGTCAGAAGGTTAGGTTGGAATGGTGATTGCACTGATTGACTGTCACATTGGCTTCCTGGAGATGATTATTATCGCTGCGTTTAGCAATGAGACCTATCGTTATTCGTATCTAATGATAGGGTTATTAAGTCTCCATTTTGTGTGGAAATATGAGTGAATACGTACTATTCTGTAAATGGTATGTAAGGAAATGAAGACTGTTTAGGTATTAGTGCGGTATGTTTGTTGAAGAAACTGTAGAAATAGTACATTGTTTCTGATATGAAACTGAAAAAGGGAAGTATAAACTAATGATGAAAAAATAAAATAGCGATAGAGAGAGAAAGAGAGAGAAGAAACAAGATAAATGCGAGAAAGAAACAAAGGAATACAAAGTAAAGAAGGAAAAAAAGAAAAAGAGGGACGAACGAGAGAATCAAACAAAGAAAAAGAAAACATAGCAAGAAGAAAAATAAATATGGGAAGAAAGGGAAAGCGAGAAAACGAATGAAAACAGAACAAACCACTTAATCAAGAAAAGAAGCAAGGTGGAAGATGGAAGGTTTATTGAATAAAAAAACTCAAAGAAATTAAAAGGGAAGAACGACTGCTAAACTAATTAACTTACAAATGATATGTTCTAAGGAAGCAGATAACATTACATGAAGGTCTTTCACTATAAATATTAAAGGAATAGAAAGAGAAAGGGAAAAGAAAAGAAGAAAAGAAAAGAATAAAAAATAAATCAATCAATAATAAATCAATCAATCAATCAATCAATAAAGAAAAAGCGTACGTGCAATAATGTCCGAGTGCTATGACAATGTTTTCCATATAGGTTTGGATATTAGTTTTAGTACAACTATATTCTTCGTAAACAATCAGTATTGTAATCAATTAAGTAGAATACAACTCAAGTATCAATTCAATATTTTCTTCTCTGCATGTCAGTAAGATGTTATCCACATTAAGCCACATTATTTTGCAATAAAATACCTGCTTTATTCAAGCCGGAATCAACTTATACTAAAACTACTTTTCTTGCATGATACTCAGTCCACTAACAGAAATCCAATACTAGTTTATTGGTGGTTGTTTTGGTTTTGTATAAGGTATAAAAATATTCAAAATCTACCTGGATTCAGCAGTCGTTCTTTCGTTATTTATCAACCGTGCTAAGGTTGTGGTTGTCCGAGTTTATTCGTTTTGCACTTTGACTGAATTAATTTGAGGCATAATATAACACAGGTAGCCCAAGCTTGGTTTCTGTGGTATCCTATTACAAGGAAATGAATGGAGATTCATCAGAAATTTCAATAAAATTATTGAAACGTGAAATAAAGCATCGAAATTTTACCCGATCATTGAGAAATAGCACTTCTTTCGCTCTGCGTGGTTATTTTTTGAATTTAGCCCATTTTAAGATTTTAACCTCGCAGTTCAAAAGAAGTGCTATTTCGCAATGATCGGGTAAAATTTCGAGGCTTTATTTCACGTTTCAATGATTTTATTGAAATGTTTGATGAATCTCCATACATTTCCTTATAACAGGACACCACAGAAACCAAGCTTGGGCTACCTGTGAATATAATGGGCTTGTCCATATGGTACAGTTGTCTCTTGCAGAAATAGAAATTATAGGGATGTGATGATGCTTGAGAAGCAGAAGTGGAAAGGAGAAAATTTTTATTCATAATCTATTCAAAAATCAAAATTTCTGTAGATTAAAGATTGAAGTTTGAGCTACAAAACTTGGGAAGGAGAAGATGCTATTACTGGTCTTCTTTCCATGCGTTTACATGCCACTTCGAACTCTTGCGCATATTTAACGTACGTTTTCGGGTCACCTTGTCCATTTTCGCTTTATTGCTTAAAACGAAGCCCGAGTGAACGCCTATAGAGCGTATCCGGAAATCAAAATTCCTGGGGTTTGAGGTTTGCGAAGCAGAACTTCGAAAGATAAAGGAGCTATCCTTCTACGATATTTAGAGATATCATAATGGATGTTTGCGTAGAAAGAGAAGGGGTTATCCGTTTTTCACACTCCACTTCAACCGGAGGATTCAAAACATATCCAACAATTCATTATTTTACACACATTTTCCGCTAAAAGTCACTAGATAATGACATCAAGATATCGGTTATTACGTATCTAGCCAATTCCAAATTAAAACCAAAGAAAATGATTCTGAAACTAAATTTCAATTTGTGTTTGAAATGCTCCAGTGAATGCTGCTAGGGACTTTTGCGATGATGGCATCACCAACACTCACCGTAAACATGCTGTGATAGGCTGATAATGACCTCCTAATGAAAACTATGACCTTGAATTAAAACCAACAAATAAATTAAAGAGCTCTCGTGCACTTCACTTAAAAAAATGTGAAGATGGCATGGATCAGAGAGTTTCCTGCCAGGGTAAGACGAAAAAATATTGGTATTATTTTGTAATTTTCATTGAGGCTTATTGTATGTAAATTTAGGTGGTCTTATTAAGATCTTTACTTATTTTATCGAAGAACAGTGACATATCGGATGTTGCTCTGCAACTCAGCAAGGCGGAAGTGAGCGAAATATTTGTTCCAAAATTCAACATGAAATGATACGTTTCTGAGCTGTTAGACTCAGAAAATCCAGATAAACATATACATCTAATCTTTGATTATTTATCATCATTATTACTCTAGAAAAAAGTTAACAAAACTCAGTATTAAGCTGAAATTATGAAACAAGCTATCTATAATAACTATTTAAAATTGTTAGCTCCTTGTTAGATGGCTAATAAAGTTGACTCACAATAGTATATATTGATATAGTACATAAATTTACCATTGTCCAGTCTGTATTATTCTATTTATAGACCAATCATGGCCATCATGTAAACTCAGCTGCATGACATAAATTAAATACAAACTACGGCCGGCTATCGACTACGGCCTATGGTTGAGTATACCGGCTGATTAGAGTGAAGAGATTTATCCGGTAAACAAAACATAATAGTCAACGTGTAATAGTCAAATAGACACAAAAGAAAACAATGGGTTAGGGTCTACTAATGTGTATTAACTAGTCTAATATCTATTTAACGGTTTTAATGACTTCTCTCTAACTAATGATAAATTACTAAAGTCAAGAAAATGCCTATTTATTAGTATTATATATTATTAGTAAAAATACACAGGTGATTATTGAAAATCTTTGTTATGATATGACGTACTACTTGTCAATCATAGCAATACTTGTGTAAACATTTTGTGTTGTATTTGGTTACATCCCCGGTTGCAAGTCATTTTAATAAAAAACAAATGAAAATAGAATTAAAATGACTTGTAAACGGGGATGTAACCCAATACAACACATATTATTATATACTACGTGTCAAAGTTCAATTTTCCTCAATTTCTATTGGTCGACAGTGTGTCACGTGAACGTGAAGAAATTCGACTGTTTCCTGGCGACCATTCTGGGAGGGGTATATTATGTCATGGACCTGGAATAACAAAACCGAAAGTCACGTGATTGAAAAACTATAAAAACCGGAAACCAGAAAGCAAAACATTTGAGCGCGCGTTTGCAAAATTCATTCACACGTTTTCTTTCACGAAACATCAGATTAAAACATGGAGTCTTCCCGATTTTCTTGCCGCGGAGAGGCGGAAATATCCAAGTTACTAGAAGACAAGGATTCTACATGGACAAAAAAATCGACTAAACAAGCAGTCAAGATTTTACGAGAATTTTGTGAGGAAAAACGCCAACCTCAAGATTTTGAAAACATGGACAAAGAAGACCTCAATGAACTGTTGAAATCGTTTTACGCAAATGCAAGGAAAAAGGATGTTTTGTTCTCTTTGACACTTGGTATGATAATAAAGCACTTATTTACTGGGACCTCGGGAAAGCCGAGTATGTTTTGTGGTCCCTCGGTCCCAGTAAATAAGTGTTAAATGTTTACACAAGTATTGCTATAAATGACAAGTAATAAAGAGTCTTATATCTTAACACGCCTCGCGTCCAACTTATCGAAACAATCTATTTATCTGATTTAACGGGTTTAATGACTTCACTCTAACTAATGATAAATTACTGATAAGCCAACAAAATGTCTATTTATTAGTATTATTTATTATTATCAGATGAGAGATGATGCTGTGTTATGCATTTTAATTTATTCTATTTTTTGCTTTTACTTTTAGTCATTCAATAAAAATGTGCTCGGAATCATCAACCGGATGTCATTCAAAATGCATTTATCAATGAATGCGAGAATCTGCAAAATAATATTTTTATTTTTATTGGTCGTTCATAATCTGTCAGTATATACAAGAGCGGAAAGCGGTGAGTATTTGATTCAAACGTTGGAGTAATATCTTTAAAACGAAAAATGTATCATCAGTATTTCTATACGTTTACTTTGTCTTTTAGTACATGTAATCACTGTGCCAAAAAAGATATCATCTTCTCAGTGGACATGGAATTGGAAAGCAACTGGGCCAACTGGAGGTGGTGTAGATCAGGTATGATATACGGCATAAAAGGTTTGAAACAAGTATGCACTATATATAAAATATGAAATATAATATATAAAATGAAATTAGTTTTGTTTATCGACACCTATTTTACATCTGCCACTACACTATTATCAACRCAATTTTGTRATACTWATATCCGGAACTCTTATTTCTAATCTACAGTGGAAGAATGCTTGGCCCAATGGTGATATATCTAAACCTGTGCAATATTCTGTTTGTGATGCATCGCCCAATACTCCGAAAGCAAACCAGTGGCTAACAAGTACAGACATTTCTAGTGGTCTTGCTAACAGGATTGATATAATCATAGAGTATGCTATGAGTGATTGCTCTGTCATAAACAATCAATACTGTCGTCAAAACTTTAGCTTATACCTACACGAATCCCCTACTCAACTTCCTGATAAGTCGTTTCCTAATCCCTACACAAACCTTGGTATATTTGAGAAAATAGGAACGTCAAGCCCTAAAGTACTGACCACTGGAAGCCTCGACCAAGCACAACGAAATAAAGAAACATTCTCAGCGATGGTAAATAAACCTTATGCATATCTTGCTTTATACTACCAAGGAGGTTGTGTGAAACTATTTTCTGTTAGCGTGCAATATTATCAATGTCCTTCCATCAAACTTTCATCGAATCTCGTACAATTACCGCAGACCATAGCCCCTGCGAATAACTCAACCAAAGTTAAAGGGTCTTGCAGTAGTGCACAACACCTCAAACCGCTGACCAACGAGAGTGACTTGTATGGATATTGCCAAGATGATGGAGAATGGAGCACTGATAGGTACCACGGGGAGTGTGGATGTGATTATGGATATGGAAAGGTTGCTACAGTCAGTGGTGGATCAGAATGTAGAGGTAACCACTTTAGCTCTTGTGATCTGGTTTTCCATTAGCTAGACACCCTATTCACATTTTGTCGATTTGGGAAAGCCGAACCTTATAGACTTCGCATTACCGATAGAATTGTAAACTGTGATAGTGACAATTTGCATGCAGGGGTGTCATCTTTGGTCATCTTATATATATACTTTTGGCTAGGACCATTGACTTCACTGATTCCTTGCTCAATTTATTGTTACCGTACGTTTCGTACAGCTATAATGAATAGAAGAATAGAGTATTAAATGATGCCCAAATACAATGTAAATTTGAACCAGTATTTGTAATATTTATTTTCAGCATGTCCTCTTGGTACGTATAGCGACAAAGTTAGTAACAGCAACTGTGCCACGTGTCCACTCAACAGCGAACAGGACAGTAGCAGAACCAGTTGTGATTGTAAGCCAAACTTCTACAGGACAGACAAACAAACAAAGTTTGACAGCTGTGCAGGTAACTACGCTTAATAAATGTTAATCAAACCAAATAAAAACGCCCGACACCTTTATTCGTGTTTTCGCCTTTTCAAAATGAAAAAAAACTAATATCGGTATGAGTCATCAAAATCCCGATTGATAGCCAAAAACACAAATTATTGAAGCTGTAAAGTCTACATAAACATGAAAACATTTCCAAACTGGATCTGATCCAGTAAAAGTGTTTAGTGGAAGCCAAACAATGGGGCGTATGAAAATTGTCGAGATCATAAAAACACCAAACGTTCCCGAAAAGTAATACTGTGGTATTCTTCCAGCTGAGCTGTGAATTTCATTTTGTTGAAGCTCAAATTACAGCGCGTTTAGCTGTTTTGCCGCCGGCCCTCATTGCCTGGCTACTGTACCCAAATCTTGCTTATTTTTCTGTTTTCTTTTCACTAAAAAGAATACACGTGCTTACAAATAGTAGAACTATTTGGAAAGAAAAAATAAAAACAATTTCACTTTACCGCCATTTGTGCTTCGTTCTTTCAAGCTCCAAAAATACTTACAGTACCTGTCATTTTGTTCATTCATTCTTTTCCGTGCCGCGTTCACCGCTCAGCAGGTCACAGCAACTTATGTTCATTTTGTTCACGGGTAGCTTCCCTGCATAAACCACTTGTTTCTTCTTTACAGTAACTTTTCTTTTAACAGGACAACCTTCAGCACCTCAAGGCTTAAGCATCACATTCCTTAATGCATCATTTGTTACTGTGACATGGTCTCCACCTACTGACAATGGAGGACGAACAGATTTGTATTACACAGCAGAATGCAAGCAATGTAACGACCAAGGAACGGAATGCATACAAGAATGTACTGGTTCTAATATTACTGTCAATCAAAACTCTAGACTCGCTAGCATCAACAGTCTTTCAGCTTACACAAATTACCAGTTGAAAGTCTATGCTAAGAATGGAGTGAGCAAGTTAGCTGAAGAGAAAAATGATTTGGCAAAGTTTGCTGAATACATAATAAGAACGAAAGAATCAGGTATCCCTAAGAGTTCACTTATGGCAAATATTACAACGAATCTTTGCAGAAACATTTTTTGCAGAATTTTTCTTATTTATTATTAGCCATGCCTACTTCAGTAAAAGGGGGTGAAGGATCGGAGGTAAAAAACTGAAGGGAGAGGAAATTTCCCCAACTTCCTCTTCTCTCCTCTTCTAATTGAAAATATCTAACTGCCAAAGAATGTAGCTAAATGGGCTAACTTTTACTTGCCTATAGTTCCAGGAATCCCAGTAGTCACTGTAAAACAACTGAGTTCCACATCAGTGCTTTTGAGTTGGGAGGTCGAAGAAAAGAACGGTGTTATCACGTACTATCAGGTGTCGTACTATCCTGTGGATCATCCTTCGAACGTCAAGAAATTCAACACAACATCAACTAATGCGTCTATTACTGGCTTGGAGACAGGAAAGAAGTATATGTTCCAGGTAAAAACGATGATTCTCTTCCAGCTCTGCCTTCTCCTAGATACTTCTTTTCCTCGTTCTTTTTCTTCCTCTTAATTCTTCTTCTTCTTCTTCTTCTAGCCATTTTCTTAGTTTTTTAAGATAGAAACTGTGTTTCTATTTCAGGTACAAGCGAGCTCACCTATTGGCCTTGGACCTTCCGCCAGCCAAACCATGGTGGTCGCAGATAACCAAGAGAAACGTATTTTTTTTTATTTTATGAAATTATAGCAAGATGACATTTACAATATGACAGGCCTAGCCGACAATACCATCACCATCAACAACCTTGATTCGGCAGTTCTATTTACACCATTTACGTTTTTACTATCCTGGTTTACAACAACAAAAGATAGACAGCAACAGCAACAACAAGAAGACAAACATCAGCAATGCTCACAACAATGACACAAACAATAGCAAAAACAAAAGAAACAATAATAAAATAAGAATTCATCGAAGTTTAGTAATAAACTAAGAGAGCATAAATAAGAGAGGTAATCTTCTTATTGTGGCGTGCGCCATGTAAATTCAATTTCCGGTGCGCGCGTAAGTTAATGACGCACGGAAGAAGGGTAATGCGAAATTGAAACTGCATCCGGTTACTAAAAATAGCCAAACTGGGAATTTACATGGCGCGCGCCCCACAATAAGAAGTTTCCCTCTCTTATTTATGCTCTCTTGAATAAACTCAATATATATTTTTATGACATACAGAGAGGGCCGATGTCACGGTACCTATTCTGGGAACCATGGTTGGCATTCTGTTGTTCGGCATCGCTGTTCTAGTCATTGTTTATTTTGTAAGAAAAAGAGGAAGAAGAAGAGCTTCAGCAACATCAAGTTCCCTTGATCAGAAACAAACAGTCAAGTTTGCACCACCTCCAAAAGACCCAAATATGGTCAGTAGTACAAATAATAACTATTGTAATTATTTACGATGTCCCTTTCCATGTATGAATAAACCATAGACTTTGGGCTTAGAATCCCCCCATTGCAGACCACATGGCCTTCCCTTGAAAGAAGTCCCTTTTTATTCGATACGTTTATATAATTATAACTCAAAGAATTAGCGATGTTTCCAAGGGGTTTTAAAACAAAAACAAATGATAATATGATGACCAGAGTATTATATTTAGGTTTTTGAGGGGATCATATGATCAAACGCAGAGCCCCGCAATCAACCATCTGGAATTGAGGACAACGTTTAGCCCAAGACGGAAGAACAAGTCAGGACAAACTGTAAAAGATAACGAGCTGCCAAATTGTTATAGGCCGTAGGATGTTGTGATACCACTGCGCCGCAAGGATTGTGCAGCCGTCACTAAATTAATGTTTTCATCGTATTTATTTCTTGACAAATGGTTTTCTTATTTTTTAAAAGAATAATGGCATTGTCTTCCTTGAGGGTTTCAACAATCCCCAGGAATCACATGACCAAGAAACACCAGAATCACGTGATGACCTATATATGGTGGTACCAGACGATGCTAATTGGGAGGTACCAAGAGAAAACATATCTGTCATCAAACGTCTTGGTAGTGGTAACTTTGGTTATGTTGATAAAGCCATTGCTATTGGCCTTCCTGGTATTCCTGGACAAGTGATGGTAGCAGTGAAGACATTAAAGGGTACTAGTAGTAGGAAATTCATAAATGTTTGATCTTTTGTTCTCTTTTGGAACTGTTGTCCGTGCCGATTATGCTTCTTACTCTGCATAGATTGTTTCGGGAAAAAATTGTGAAATCCAATCCAGATACAGCAGGGTCCGAATCTAAAAAAATCAATCCTGCTCACATTTGCCATACCTGAAGTTGAGGCGCCGTATGGACTTTGAATCTTACGGCAATTATAATAGTTCCCTTCACAGTTCCCTGCGCCATCTTGAAAGGTACCCGTGCCTTTGCATCCAAGCGAGACGAACGKTGAGCTTGCAATGATAGATACCTTTTTTAACACCCTGAACAATTATTCACATGTCTCTATCATTGCAAGCTCGACGTTCGTCTCGCTTGGATGCAAAAGCACGGCTACCTTTCATGATGGCGCAGGGAACTGTGAAGGGGATTATTGCAACTTTTATTACATGGATTACGAAGAAAAATGTTCTAGCCAGGAGAATCAGTTTTCATTCGACTGACGATCTATCGTTTGCTGTGTTTCTTTAGAAAACGTGAAACTCAGGGACAAGGAAGATTTCCTAACTGAGCTGAACCTGATGATGAGAATGGCACCTCACAGACATGTAGTCAGGTTATATGGTTGTTGCACGATACCTGGTGGTAAGGACATATTGATTTTTTTTACCGTATCTGTTAATTAAAAAGGCTACTCTTTGATTGGTCAACTGCCCGTGGTAAATAAAATTCCATACCACGGTAGATTATATAATTGCTTGCGCACCATGTACGCTATCATCATGTAGTACTGCTTTCCTTATATAAGTTATTTTCCTTTCCTACGGTTTTTCTTTTAATTTCTCGAATCATAACTTATTGTTAAAATAGTTGGCATGCACACTACCATCACGATGTACGCCACTGCTTACAAACATTGAGTTCATCTGGTATTGAATGCATCTATTCTCATAATCATAATACGTGTACATATACAAATGATCATGAGACAAACACATTGAACTTTAAGGTCCTCAGTCCATCATACTGGAATATTTGCCGTACGGCGATTTGCTTGGCTACCTGAGGCGCTCCAGAGGTCACGAAGACTCGTACTGCTCAGGTGATCTTCGTCCTGAGTCTAGACTGAAATCTAAGGACTTGCTGAGGTTCGGTTGGATGATTGCAGATGGGATGAGCTTTCTTGCTGATAACAAGGTGCGCGTTATCTCTTTTTCTTTCCATTATGTGGAATCCTAATCTGGACGTTGAAAGCTCGCTAGGCCAAAACTCTAGTAAAACAATCGATGATGCATATTCGTGCATACTTTCGGCAAGACCCGGATTTTGATCTCACTGACTGATAGCCTTTGGTGACTATTTCGAATTCTTGCCCATCAGTCAGTATGTGTAAAGATATATACATTGATCTTCAACCGTTTTCAGTGCGTGCATCGAGATCTTGCTGCTCGTAACGTCCTCGTAGGAGAAAACAAGATCTGTAAAATTTCAGACCTGGGACTTGCAAGGAAAGTCAGTGAAGACATCTATACACGCTCTTCTAGGGTAAGACAAACAAATAATTCCACACTATCATCAAGTAATGAAATCTTCCAAATATGTTTAAGTTGCTATTATCTAGCTCATTGATTCTTTGCATTGTTTTCCTACTTTCTTTCGCAGGCCAGACTTCCTGTCAAGTGGATGCCACCAGAGTCAATCTTTTTTGGACAATCGACCATTGCCAGTGACGTGTAGGTTTTTCTTGGACTATTTATTTCTTCCTAAGTTTTTGGAATAATAATATTCTTAACCTTGCTCGGTGAGTTTTCATTTTTTATTTTTATTTTTTGCTTTTTATCTTGCAGGTGGGCCTATGGTATCGTCTTGTGGGAGCTCTTCACTCTGGGTAAACTACTATGATATCTTTTGCATCGCCAGCTTCCCTTTCCCAACTTCACGTTTCAACTTCAGTATATAGGATTCGGACTTCGCTCCCATCAATTATTTAAAAGGAAGAGTCTTATACTTACTCGCATGTATTTCGTTTGGCAGTAAATCTTGATAAACATATGTGTCTGGACATTTACAAGAAGCATAACGTAACATTTAAATTTTAAAATACGAAGGACTGCGCGATGCGGCAAGGAAATTCGGTACTTTTATAGTCAATAACACTAAAAATATCTTTAAAATACATCCTAATAATCTGAAAAAATTAACCAGTGTATGAGTGTGTTTAATTAGCAAAATATTATAACAACCGTTTTTTATCGACTTATTATATACTTCATTTTATTTCAGGTGATTCGCCGTATCCTGGTTGCAATGGAAATGATGTTACAAGGCTTCTTCGCGAAGGTTACAGGATGCCCAAACCTCCACATCTCTCAAAAATACTGTAAGATTCCGTGATTGATATGAACTGTAATTTTCTCTCATTTCTTTAGTGGGAATTACATTAAAATATTTTAAAATTGTATAGTGGGGTCTGGTGTGAGCTAGGAATAATTCATAAGTCCGGCTAGAGGCCGTAGCATGGTCACTTTCCAAAGATTGGGAAAAGGGCACATCTTATGCATTTCACCAAGGTCTTTGAGGAGACACACTTATAAGAAACATTAGTTATATCTTTAAAACGTATTTTCCCTGTTATTCTAGTTACTCTCTGATGCTGAAATGTTGGAAGGATAAACCCGAAGAGAGACCCCCTTTTAACACAATCCGAGAGGAGATCAACACTTACTTCAAGGCTACAGAGGTATAAATTTGTTAGGGGGGGAGGATGCAAAAATGACATTTTTCGTCTTTAGTTTTCTGTAAACTTGTCATTGATTGGACGAGGTTGTGTCATACTTGATCATATGCCTTGTTGTTGCCCAACAACAACGAAGACAATAACGACCACTATCAACACATTCCACCAGACTATTCACCAGCCACGACACTGATAGTCATCAGTAGAAGCAGCAGCATTGAAAAAAAAGAACAACTGCCTGAACAACAAGGCGACGACCTTAGCGGTCTCATTTTTAAACCACGGATTACAACGAATAAATCAAAAGCACAACACATCACAACGGCATCACATCATAAACAACTGGAATTTGTCAATGCTAAACTTTAACTTATAGCAAAAACAGCAGGAGTAAAAGCAAGATTACAAGAACAAAAGCAACGAAACTCTAGTGTGACTGGATTATTTCATGATTGATGACGGAAAACTAAAGAAGCACAGATTCTGTGCAGGTCATCATTTCATACTAATCTTGTTTGTTTGCTTGTTTCTCTTTAAGGATTACATCAACCTTGACGTATTCGAAGACAGCCTCTATGTTAATTTTGATGCTTTGTAGCTACAAGTTTTGTAATACGTTAGTACCAACGTTAAACAGGTTTGGGTATCATGACATCATCGCGCTACCCACCCTTATTACAACCGTGCCAAGATGATTTGTATAAGGAGCAAATTAGGGGGGAGGATGTAACTGATTACGCACTATAAAGCTAATAAGTCGATTAATTAATATACTAATAGCCTTAATTCGCGATTGCATACTAAAGAGTAAATTATCATTATTTGCCACTCTATTTGATAGATGAATTTAAAGCTGCTGCTGGAAGCGTAAAACAGATTAATAATACTTATTGACTCAATCGCCAGCTTAAAACTTTTGTTCTATGAAAGTGATTCATTGAACATTATTCAAACGACCCGTCGAACCATCCATTTCACACAACAGGAGCGGTCTTACTTTACGAAGCCCATAGAAGTTATAGTTATCGTATAAGCACTATCCAGAGGATAAAAGCGCTATCCCGAACTAGAGTTATCCTTGTATAAAATCCAGCAGTTACAACTATTATTATAGCCTCGTGCGACAAAGGAAGACATATGGTTAGAGTTTTAGATTAGGTTGGATCTTTTGGGTAAGAATTTATCTGATGTATAGTGCTTATTCGGGATTCATACAAGCAGACACTTTTTTAGACGTTAAGCTCCAAGAAGCTCCCCTCCCTTTCCTGCCAAGGAACATGTTTTCAGTATATCAAGTTCATTTTTCACGGTTACTAAAAATAGATATCGCAAAGACTTGTTGGATCGAAATGCACACAAACATTGCAAATAAACAAAGACTTCGATAACATTGAAAAAAAGAAGAAGAATAGCAGTCAAAAAACCATAGTTCTACCATGAATTGCAACAAGACTACAAAACATTGTTGCAGCTAGCATGTTAGCTGGGCTTGGCTTGTTCGGAAAGGCCCTTGGCAGTTCAGTAATCACGTGCTGATTAATTCACTGCGAGCAAATGAATGAACATCTTTATGAACATGGGTGAAATTTACTGGTGAGCAAACACACTTTCTACAACCTGTTTCAAGTGATCGTAATAAAACTACATTTCGTGAAACACTGGTTACACATCGTTTCATTCAGTTCTTTACAAGTAGCTAAAAAGAATCACCAATTTATAATTAAAATTTAAAAAAAAGTTTGCTCACCAGTACAGACACGTGACCGTTAACTGCAAAGGGCCGATTCAATCCCATGATGCACAACTGTGACGTGATAAGTGGAAAACTCTTTTCAATATAAAGTACGAATGTTAAATAAATCAAAGCTTTGTTTTCACTGTTGTCTTAGTACTATTAACAATACTCCTGAACCTCTTCAGCCCTACATCCCTCCACGCAACACTCTTCTACTATGTCTGTACTCTGACTGTTTGGCTGTCTACGACTGATGAGAAATCTTTTGGCAAGCGAGTTCGACTCCAAAATTGAACGATGGTCAAGTCCTGTAAAGAAAGAAAAATACACAACGCATTTCATAAAACGCGGTTGCTGGGAATTATGACAAGAAAGTGTGTCATAAAAGTAGGACTTTCCAATTATCTTTGTGTGGTAAGAAGGTTCAAAAAAAGTGAATAACAATAGAGTCAATAAGAAACACAGAAAATTTTTTTGTGTATTCCAGAAACTCATTAGGAAGCAGAAACGTATAACACTATAACCATTATCTGGAATGTTCGTATACAGTCGATGTCATTAACGTTTTCCACCGAAAAAAGACATTTACGCATTTATACGTACATTTACACATTTACACATTTACACATTTAGACTAAAAGATATATCACGTGTTTCATTATGTATTCTTTGCCTTTTGTTCGTCAGCCTGAACTTTAAATGTAAAATTCAACTCGTGAATCGAAAATCCAGAATGCCCTGACCGTTTAGTGACGATTTTTAAAAGATGGAGAATGGTATTTCTGCATTTGTTTTATGCCAGAACCTTCGAGGAAACACATGATATTTCTTTTAGTCTAAATGTGTAAACGTGTARATGTGTAAATGTCTTTTTTTGGTGGACAACGTTAATGACATTGACTGTATATCCAAATGAGAAGTTTGGTTTTTGATATGAAAAAAAAAAAAGCCTTCTTGCTGAATTTCCTTACTTTCAGAAGAGATTTACTGAATCTTTCAATCAAAGATTTAGGATAGTCTGTATTTAATTTTTTTTATTTTTTATTATCATTATTTTTTTTGAAGCTATTTACGTAATTTATTAGAAACAAATAATTGACTAGAAAAAAGTAAAATATTCCGGAACATCGTACAAAAGAAATAAATATATGGCTATAACTCGTTTTAAATCCCCGCATGAGCTTCTTTGGTATTCAACTTGGTATTCAAGTAATATTTCAAAGCCTCCAAAATCGGACTGGACGGGATTTCAAGTCCGCAAGCAATTAGTTCATTGGAACTAATTGCGTTGACTTAAAATCCCGTCCAGTCCGATATTGGAGGCTTTGAAATGACTTCTCATGCTCATTATGCCATTATTATTCGACTTGGAGTAACTGGAACAAAATTAATTCAGTCCTAGGACTGAATTAATTTTGTTGCAGTTACTACAGACTGAATTCAGTTCTTTCACATGACTTTACCAGGTTTCAAGTAACATCATGTGACCCAAAAATAGCCCATTGATTGGCTGGTTTACTCATGAATTATTAATGAGTATGAGAAACTTTATATCCTAGCTATTACGCCCAAGCGCTGACCATGGAATTTTCAATGGCAAGACGTAACGTATACTTTCTAATCTAGCTTTTCTAAAAAGGTTTAGTCACTTACCGTGTGTGATGTGGTTTCGTCTTCCAGCTCTAGGATTTCCACACAATTCCATGTACTTCTGTGCAATTTGGTCCCCACAAATTCTGTAATCGATATTAGTTTGTGGGGATTCGTTAATCTTGCAATATCCTCTACATCCTTGACTGTGGTTTATTTCAGCCAAAAGTAGAAGCATAATAGTTGTGTAGATAAACATCTTATTTTCTCCTTAGAAAAATCAAATAGAAATAAAGAAGGTAATCAGAGAAAGTTAATAATAAAACATTGCGATATTTTACTGTACTTAAAGTACTTATTAAAAATTGCATAATTTGATGAAGTTTGAAAAAAAATGAAATGATGAAAGTTTTAGACTATATTTTATATAAATTATTTTTATAGTTTAAAACTTTCATCAATTTTTTTCAAATTTGTCGTGAAAAACCCACTATGATTTTATAATAGTTTGTTTCTTTCTTTTTCACGTTATATATATATATATATATATATATATACACACACATATATATTTATTTATTCTAACAAGTAGACCACTTTTAGACGTTTACCCAAGTTTTAATCTGTAAAATTACACTATAGAAATTTAGTATTGATTTTGTTACGAAAACTAAAAGGTGCAAACTGCAATTATTGCCGAAATTATGTATCTTAGTCGGCTAGTTCCTTGTTCAAATAAATAGGAGCATGATCTGTGGTAAGTAAAATAAAAACCCAACATTTTCTAAGTACGATGTATTATACTGATCTCACTCAATGCACTACTGATAAGAAAAAGTCATTGTCTTGCAAAACAGTACACAGCTATTCAAGTATGCATTGATGTTCGGTTCAAATTCAAGATCAAAGTAAAGCCAAAATAAGTATCTCTATATAGTGCAAAACGAGAGCTATTTTAACAACGACAAAAGTGATAAAAAACATTTTGTCAGTTGACAAATGAAAAAATATTAAAAATTGGCGAAAAGGATCAAAAAAATCCTCAAGCATATAGTAATTATATAAGTAAAATTATATTTGTTTTTGTTGAAGAGGATTGCAAAAAATAAAGTGAAATAAAGGAAAATGATGAAAACATTGTAATGTTTGCAGTATTCGGAAAGGAAAACTGTACGCGGCGATTCAGTTCCTTTCCCTCAATAAGTCGAGCTTCGAATCACACTGAAGCACTAGTTCAAAACAACTCTCTCATATAGTTATATTATTGAATAATTCAACAATAAATTAAAGAGATTTTAAGATTAACTTAAAACGATTTTAAATTTTTGTCAAACACTTACCTGAGTACCTTACCTTCTCTAGCAAAGAGCATGAAAATTTTGTGAAGGAAACAGCGTTACTTACTTCCATTTATGTGAACTCAACTCCCACGTGAACATTATATCTTATATCTCTGAAAATAATTGTTTTCTTTTTTCCATTAAAACGCAGTTGGAATCTAATGGTGTGTTACCCATAAAGGAGTAGAAATCACAGTCTGAGAGCTAAGAAATAAGAACAACAATGGTATACGCACTTGAGAAAGTGGTCAATACGGAAAAAATCATTATCTAATAGACTTGTTTTTTTCTTTTTTAGAAAATACTCACTTGGCTTTTTTTTAAAATTTAATATATTAATGCTAGTAAGAGCGTATTCAATTCATGGATTGTACTTTTTTCAATGGGACTCACTTCCGAGAAAGTACAAAAAGATACCGAAGAAATAACGCTTTGATTGTCCGCTTCTCGGTGAAGGTTAATGGAAACTGTAGCGAGCGGGTACAAAATACACTCTCCAGGAGATCAAAGACGGGCTTATTGATTTTGATTCTGCTATGAAATTTCTTGCACGCAATGTTCTCGTTTGATCCTGAATATTAAGAATATGCTCAGTTGATTAAGCAAAAAAAAAAGAAAAAAAATCAGTTCACATCTGAGCTTATTTGTATTCATTGCTCATTTCCAAGAGAATAGTGTAACAAAAGACACAACGGCTATGTTGGTGGGTATGATAATTGAAAGGGACGAATGACAATTCTTTTCTTTTCTTTTTTTTTCTTTTTCTTTTTTCTTTTTTCTTTTATATCATAAACCAAATCTGTGAAATAAATTAATTTTGCAAATCTTAAATTAGAACAACGTGAATACTTTGAAGGGTGAAGTAGAGGCATTTGGAACCTCTCCTCTAGGAATAGTCCCCTTCACAGTTCCTTGAGCCATCTTGAAAGGTAGCCGTGCCTTTGCATCCAAGCGAGTCGAACGGTGAGGTTGCAATGATAGAGACATGTGAATAATTGTTCAGGGTGTTAAAAAAGGTCTCTATCATTGCAAGCTCACCGTTCCGTCTCGCTTCGATGCAAAGTAGTCACTGCTACCTTTCAAGATTGCGGCTGTAACTGTGAAGGGGACTATTGATCGAAGCATGTGTGAACTCCTCCATTCTCACACAACTTCCTTTTACCTTGGCCTACTCGAAATACTAGGTTATGAGCTTTAACAAATCATGCAGCTGGTTACTGGTTTCGCCCTATAAGATTGCTCGTGCTGCTGCAAACTGTTATATGGCTGAATATTCTGGAATTTCAAACGGTAACCCGATTGAGCTTGTTGTTAGCCTTGTGAATCGAATATTCTGGCACTTTAAAGAATTTGAATTGTTTCGAGAGAGAAAAAGAAGCAGAATAACTGGCAATTGTAAGACAGGGACAAAAATATCAAATAATATTAAACGGGAATGAGAAGAAGAAGAAGAAAGAGAAGAAGAAGAAGAAGAAGAAGAAGAAGA